CAAACAGTGTTTCTTTGCTATTCATAAGATTTTCCCTGGCCAATTCTTTGAGAAGTGGACAGCCTCTTCCTTCTTCCTAGTCTGTCTTAGTCTGTAAGCTGGGCTGATACCTGTGCACCATGTCCATCCCACTGGGTTTGAGGCTCAGCCTCAAAACTCACATCAACATGTCACCATGGGAGGACAAGCCGACAGACAATTTTGTCTCCCTATTGGAAACCTCTCCCACCACCCTTACCTGGGTCCGTGTGGCTGACTGCTCTGTATCCCTCTATAAGGACAAATTTGACACTGGGTTAACTTTCTAGTTCTGTAGCTCTGTTCCCTTAGAAACCTATTAAAAGATTGTCAGTTGTATGCCTAGACAAAATTGTTTATGATAAAAATGGCCCTGAAGGTTAATTTGTGTAAATACCTGGGGGAACCCGCCAAGTAACTCTCTGGTAAGTAGGCATGTCCCTGTGGGAACCCTGGATGATGTGCCCATGGAGTTGTTACTAGAGATACAATCTCCTTTGGGCATGGGAAATGTCAAGGTGAACTCAGCTCTTTTCCTTGCTCAAGAGTTATCACTTGGGGAGCTAAAGACAATAGCTTGCAGGCAGCTGTGTGGACTGCTGTGAGGACTCCTCTCACTGCTGGCAGGGGGTTTCTTGCCCTGTATACTCTTGAGGTAGTGGAACAATTGTGACCTGTGGTTATTTTGTGTGTCTGTACAGCTAGTTAAAAACATATCCTGGTGAGCATTGCAACTGGGCACTACAATCATCTCCATTGACCTTCCCAAATCCCACAACTAGTCATTGGGAGCCCCAGCATCTGAAAAGAAGTAGTTTGATTGCAGAGTCTGGCATTTGAACTACTATTCCAGTCTACTTTTATAAACTGACATTGTCATTCACTAGTTGTATGAACTTGGGTTTGTTAAACCTCCTCATCCCTGGTTTCCTCATCTTTTACAAAATTAAGGTATTTAACTCATAAGTATTTATTTAAGGATTTGACATAAAATATAGAAAGAAGCCAGCACAGAGCCTGGCCTAATAGGAGCTCCCTGAAGGCAGTTCCCTCCCCGTGGTCATGTCCTGCTCAACCCAGCCAGAGACCCCCACCAAAAACTGTCTGTAGAAATAAATACATAATTTAGTCCTGCTCTATTCTAGTAAGGAGACAATCTCCCCTCCTATTGCTCTTTATGTCCACTTGCATGATCCACTTCTTCAGCTTCTGTATATAACCCACCAGCCTAAATTACTCTCTACATTTTGAGATAAGTGATAGTCTAGACTGTGTATCTTCAGCTTTCTAGTCTCCTTGACTTGCTGGATCCACCATCAATTTTGACTTTCAAGCCTTTTGTGCATGTCCATGGCAGCACATTCATCCAGTTCCTTACGGGAGAACCTGTTGGCTAGCAGCCCCTACCTAGCCCAAACTTCTGCTTCTTCCTCACTCAGCACATGGTAAGGCAAACACTGTTGAAGTCGTGGATGAAAAGATAGTTGCTTACCTCAGCCCTTTGTGGTCCCCTGGAAATATTGATAGTAAAATATTATTCAAAACACTTAGAGGGTGACACAAAATTCTGGAAACAGGTAGTGGTGAGGGTTGTACAAAATGATGAAAGTAACATCACTGAATTTTCCATGTGAAGTATGTTGAAATGTCAAATTTTTGTCATATATATACTCAGCACATTAAAAAGTAATTCATTAAAAATGCTTAGGGAAATAAAAAAGCTTAAGGAAATATTTTTAAATTTTTTAAATTATATTTATTTTTAATTAAATAATAAAATTTAAAATATTGTTAAATAATGACATGAAAGTTAACACAAGAAAGAAATAAATGCACCCATACCACCAACCCTACCTTCCAAGAAAGCATTTAGGGAATGTAGTCAGTTTTCTTTTTCTGTCTTTGATCAGATTTCCTTGTTTGCACATCATCTTATAAAGTTTCTCGCCCTGTTCAGAGATCATCACCCAGGTGTCTTGCTCCATTCCTAATTTTAAACCTATCAAAAATGGAAAAAAAAAAAAAAAACAAAGAAAGGCCTCTTCATTCACTCTCATGTTTCCATTAAACACCTATTGATTGCATGTCTGCTGTGTGCTGGGGCTGCTCATACAGAGCCATGTAAGATGGAGCCCGAGCTTTCAAGAAACTCGTGGTATACAAGGGAGATAGACAAAACAGGATTCCCAGAAGCTATAAGCGGATATGGTTTGGCCAAAGAAATAAGAGCAACTCCATCTCATTCTCCACAGACCTAATGGCCTGGCATCTGTGTGCAGAGTTAAATTGGCACACCTGCACAGGGTAGTCCTGGAGATAGACACCTACGGGAATCACTGTGATATACTACTGTGGTATAAAGAGGCATATTCAGGATATCTATAGGAAATAAGTGAGTTCTGGTGGCGTAGTGCATAAGACATTTTGACTGCTAACCAGAAGGCTGGCGGTTCAAACCCACCAGCCACTCCTCCGAAGGCAGATTGGGCAATCTATTTCCGTAGTGATTTATTGTTGTTGTTATGTGCCATCGAGTCAGACCCGACTCATAGCGGCCCCTCCTTGGGTTACCAAGGCAGTATCACTATGGAAGTAGATTGCCCCATCTTCCTTTCGAGGAGTGGCTGGTGGGTTTGAACCGCCAGCCTTCTGGTTAGCAGTCAGGAAACCCAAGGAGGGGTCGCTATGAGTAGAATCTGACTCGACAGCAGTGAGATTGGTTGGAGTTTGTTTTATAGGAAATAGAGATCACCTCCACCTGGGAAATATTTAGTAAGGTTTCCCAAAAGCGTCATGTTGAAATGCACCAGTATGAATAGGTATTTCCAGATAGAGAAGACGTGGAGGATTCACAAGAACTGATATGAAGCAGCACAAAGGCCTGAAGAGTCTGGTCTTAGATGAGATGCAGAAGATAAGCAGGAGGTTTAGGCATGGTCCTTGCCCAACTTTAAGTTTCAACTTATTTAGTTTCTTAGTTATTTGGGAAGGATCTAAGTGTTTGAAACAGCAGGGCCAGGGAAAGGGAGAGACAGAGTAGCAGTAGGAAGTTTTTGCTATGGAAAGAGTTTTGAGGACACTGTGGTGAAAAACCTGAATGGGAGAGGGTTTATAAAGAGAGAAATCTTAATTCCCTTATTGAGGGAATTGCAAAAGCTCAAGCAACCTCAGTTCCTGCAAACAATAAGCAGTGCCTTTAGGGCAAGGAGGATGAAGTTAAGAAATATCTAGGAGATGGTATTTAAAGGACACAGTAATGATTAAGCATAAAGCTGAAGGAGAAAGATGAAATCAGGATGCCTTCTGGTTTTTGATGTGAGTAACTGAATAGATAGTGAAGAGGCATATCAGAGAGAGGAGCTGTAGCATTGCCTGGGGATGCTCAGGTAGGGCTGGTCCAGAGGTCAGTTGGATACATGAGTATGAAGTTCAGAAGAGAGGCCAAGTCTGGACAAAAAAATTGAGAAATTAGCAGTGTAGTGGTAGAAGTTAATCTGGTGGAACTAGGTAACCCAAACAAGGAATCTAGTGAGAGGAGCGTAGGGACAATGCTGACGTCCTGAGATCACTAAGAGTAAATCAGTGGATGGGATTGATGAAAAGTCAGCAAAGAAGACTGCATAAAACCTGTTACAGAAGAAATACTTGAATGACTTTTAGTCTAGCTACAAAATAATCTTAATTTTTTTTTTTTTTTTACAATGTGGAGCCATCACCATTTTTGTCAAATATCATAGACAGTTTTATAGAATGTGCTTCTTTCATTTTTTTCTTTTCCTTATTTATTCGTCTGTTTTTCGCTTTGTAATTTCTGTTCTGGGTGTATCTATATGGATTACCATTCTGAAAAACATAAAGGTTCAACTTGAAAAATTCATTTTATCTCTTCCTTGACCTGCTTTTAGTTGAACTGATTGGAAGATTTAACAAAACCTAAAGAATTAGGTAAGCATTTGTGACTTTTGTCTTAGAAATTTCTGTCTAGTTTTTATACAAGAGCAATTAAAGGAATACGTATTTGAAAATGCTTTGTGAATTCTTATACAAATGTGTGCCATGAATATTTTGATCCAGATAGACATTCTGTACATTCTTCAGGGGAAAACATCTAAAAACATCTAAAAATGGACTAAGAGGATCTTTATGTTTAAAATTTCATCAACAATGAGATGTGTTATCTCTGGATCTCCAGGAAAGGGAAGAAACAGTGCCATAGGGATTTGTTTTTGGGGCTTTTTAAAATCAATTATTTAACAAAGAAATGGGTAGTTATACAAGCATTCCTATTTCCTACCTGAATTAAACAAACATGCTTAGCTGCAGACAAACTTCACACAACTGACTATTACTAAACCAAGTACCTTTTGCAAATCTGGCTAAAAGCAGAAAGCAAATTTGAGCTAGGTTTCTTTATGAGAATAAGCTACTTATTGGATTACATTACATTATATTCAATGACTTCTAACAATTTTTAAAAATTAACATATCCAAAGTGCCTTACTCTGTAATTAGGAAGACTCTAATGTATTTTGTCTGGGAACAGTCAATGGACTGTTAAATACATAAGCATAATTGCTGGAGAGGTTACAACCTTGCAGAATATTACTGAGTCTGCCTCTTAAGGGAAAACATAGTAAAACATCATGCTCTTTTCCACTTTCATGTCACTTTTGCCCATTATTGGTCTCCTGCTAAGTTAAAGTCTTCCACAGAGTATGCAGCCCAATTCATACACTCACCTTTTCGCCGTTCTCTTTCTTTCAAAATAGCTTCAAACCATTCATGCTTCTCTTCAGGTGTTTTTGCCATACACACAAACCACTTATTTTTGGCTGTGTTATGTATTTTCCATCCATTAACAACTATGTGCCCACTACTATGGAAGTCAGCTGGAAATTAATGGGTAAAAATGAATGAGAAAAATGTAATATGTAATATTATATACAAATGATTCAATTCACAAAATAGGCAGAACTACTGAATTCTTCAAAATGGCTTTGTTTTGTGTATGTATATTGAGAACAAAACAAAATAAAACATAAATGTTTACATATTGAATATAGTTCCTGACACACAACACTAATTAATGTATTAAATAAAATTAAATACTACATTAATTTCTTCTATATCCAAAAATATTGTTAAAGTTATTAATGCAAAAAAAGAAGAATGTTTAAGGAGTTTTTGTCTCAATAATAGAATATTCAAGATGTCAGATTCATTTTATCTTTCTAATATGCCCTTGAAAACTTATTCTACACTTCAGAGACAGAGTATACCCTCACAGAACAACTCTTGATTATTTAAGGAACTGCACAATAAGAATTAGAATAAAATGATGAAATATTCCAAGAGTACATTTTACCTAAACTACAGTAAATGGAAGGAGCTCTGGTAACATAGTGCCTAAGGCACTTGACTGTGAACCAGAAGGCTGGCGTTCAAACCCACCAGCCACTCCTCGGAAGGAAGGTTGGGCAATCTACTTCCATAGTGATACTGCCTTGGAAACCCAAGGAGGGGTCACTATGAGTCAGGGCTGACTTGACGGCACATAACAACAACAACAGTAAATGGAAACATACAAACTCCAATACATTGTACATGGCTGAAAAATAAACTCTTTAAAACCATTACATTCCATATAATTGGCATGAATTGAAGCTCACAAAATAATTTTCTTTGGGGAAGAATTAACATTTAATTTCTTTTTGAAAATTTCACCATAAATTTGGCTAAATTGTCATGCTGAGTTTTAAAATGCAACAGTGGACTCTCTGTAACAGCTCTCTACCTAACAGTAGGTAGATAACAGTGACATTTTTTGTGACCAGCCTTAATGGGCATGACAGCTCCCACGAAGCAAAGATTCCAAAAGAGAAGAACATATGGCAAAGACCTGTATCAGTATCAGCACCAATTAAAAAGTGACACTTTTTATTCATCCTCCCCCGAAAGTCATTAAACAAACAGTAACAGTTGGTATACAGGCTATGAACCACAAAAACTAGCATGCTTTAGATAAATTAATTTGTGCAACTGCAGATTTATTATTATTATTATTATTTAAATTTAAGAACTTGTTTTA